AAGTGCTCGAGGAGGGTTCAATATTCCTTTGGCTAGCATCTTGTTGACTTTTTGAATTACATTACGCTCTGTGGCAGACACCTGGTATGGTCGGCAGTGAATGGGAGGAGAATCAGCATGATTAATGTGGTGCTTCACGAAGGAAGTCAGACAGAGTGGACTGCTGTCAATGTCAAATATGTCACGGTAGGAAGCCAGAAGGTGGAAAAGGGCATTGGATTGCTCAGGGTTGAGTTTTGGGTCGATCAAGGGGCGCAAGGCCGCATCGAGGGATGTGGCATCATGCGGGCGAAGTGGAAGATCAGAGCATGCGTCTGCTGCAAAACGGTGACGTGGGCGTGAAATAAGGGTCGAAGCGTGGCGACCAAAATTCCGTGTCGTAGCACTTTCTGCGTGAAACTGAAATTGATAATTGGAAAAAATGCTCCGTTAGATGTCATGGCTGCGACGGAGTGTGGCACAGTGATGTCACCCGCCAGGAGAACATCAGAAATAGGCGTGATGACAAAATCACCGTCAACAACAGGTGAACTTGTTGCCAATTCAATAAACTAGAGAGCTTTTGGTGGTATCCGACTGAAGTCTGTGGTACAGAGGCTTTTCGGCTGCTCGGGGCAAGAATCTGGAAGAAGAGGAAGTTCTAAACAGAGTGCTAGCGGAACAGTCGATCAGGGCAGAATGCGTCCATAACAAGTTCATCCCGAAGATGAGGTAGTGAGGGCAATTGTCGAGCATGGCAAATAAAACGGGAAATGGCAGACAGCAACGCTAATACGAGCGGTGCATATTCCGATGACGGCCACGATTCCACCATCGGCGACGCTGATAGCTTGTGTTGCGGCAGGCGTTTTTTTTTTTGAGGTGGTGACAGAGACAAGCACTCATTTTAGGCACCTGAGCTCTAGTGTCAACTAAAGCCGTCAAAGAAAGACCTTCCAGACGCACTTCAATCAAGTTCTTATTAGTAGGGAGCGTCAACGGAGGATTTGGGTCAGTCACACTTGATGCAGCACTACCTCCAGGAGCTGCTCAATTAAATTTTCCATCCGTGAAGATTCATAGTTAGTCAGCGATGGATAGCCATGGGGTTAGGGCGACGGAGAACTGCGGCGTTGCGGTGACGGTGAACGAGTAGTAGAGCGGCTGTGAGGTGCGTAGGAAGCAGGATACTCATGGCTGGGCGAATACCAACGGGGGTCCGCGTATGGCCGAGGAGAACAAGAAAACTGGCTCCAACGGGGGGGGGGGGGGCGTATAAGTGCTGTGGCAGTAGCGGGAGACATGGCCAACTCGGTGACAGCGAAAGAATATTGGCTTGTCGTCTGCTGTTCTCCATTCCGTCGGATTGCGGGATCTGGGCAGAAAGTATGGGTCATGGCGTGGTGCATTCATTGGCGTCGGTCTGTAGTCCAGTCGTGAGACGGAGCAGGTGACAGGAAAACCAAGGTTAGCAATATCTTGACGCACGGCTACCCGAATGACTCGGACCACCCAAGATGTTTGCACGGTGCCCTGGTCGCGCGGAAGTAAATGAAACGGTGCCGGACGGGCCATCTCAAGCTTACGTCGAACGATGCGTGCAACATTTTCGTGCAAGGGTGGTGTGGCACCGAGATCGGTACAATTGGACGTGACAGCCCCGTTTGGGAGCCGCGAAAATTGAGGCAGAACTCAATGGTTTTTGGCAATATTGAATCGACAGCATTCCTTAATTATGAGATCAACTGTCGTGACGTCGTTGTACATGAGCAAGTTGAAAGCGTCGTCCGCGACGCCCTTGAGTATCTGACTCACCTTGTCACTTTTAGTCATTTGCTCGTCCATTTTGCGGCACAATGCGAGCACGCCTTGTATGTACGATACATGCGACTTGATTGATGACTGTACACGGGTGGCGAGTTCTTGTCGTGTGGTGTTTGTCGACCGGACGGCTCCCCGAAGATGTCGCGTAGTCGTTTCTTAAGATGTCCAAGCTGGTGAGCTCAACCTCAAGAGCATCGAACCACACACGCATGGTGCCATCCAAGTAAAAGATTACGTTGGCGAGCATCATGGTTGGGTCCCATCGGTGAGACAGGCTAACGCGCTCGTACATGCGGAGCCAGTAGTCGACGCCAAGGCCAGGCTGGGCGCACAACGTACCGGGATCACGGGGGTGGGTAATCGCAAGGTACGTAGTAGCTGGCACTCCAGCTGAAGGTGGGCGGTGACGGCTTGCTACCATTGGAAGCCATCACTGGAGGCTGAACGGTGCGGGAACTGCGAAGCTTCGTGGTGAAGACGGGGAACGTTCTACCTCCACCAAATATGTTACGGAAGAGAAGAAACGTCGTATCGATGAGGCTGTGGATAGAATATATTTCAAACCAGCAGCAGTGGCGTGACTGGTTTACCAGACAATGGTGATGATGATGATGACGATGGTGACGATGAGCCTCTCGCTTTGCTGGCACTTGCCCACAAAGGGGGATCAGCCAAGAACCGGGCGGCAGGACCATCACGTGATTTAGTTATGAGTCAGACACCGAGCGGGGACCACTGTTCGTCCTCTCCGTCAGGTACATACGCACATCGTCCCACAAATTGTCAACATGCATGTACCAATATCAAACTTGGTCTATGATTAGCATTGTTAACTTGTTTTGCATGATAGAGCAGTGTTTGTTGTGCCCTGCAGCTGGAACAAGATAGAGCAGTGTTTGTTGTGCCCTGCAGCTGGAACAAGCGTCTTGGGTCCCATCCGAGCCGCGCCAATCGCATTTGCGATCAGCGCAGCTCTTAATGGTGAAATGGTAGAGGCTGGCGTACCAAGAAGTAATATAAAAGGCCAAGACAGCACACTTTCATAGACCCCTGTGGCTGATTTGGGTTCGCAGCGCACCAAACGGATGTGGTGAAATTTTGCAGCCTCAGAAATGATAGGCCACAGAAAAGACGGTCTTGAAGGCCATTTTGTAGGGACTAGAATTATTATACCCTTCGAGACCTTTTCTACGTGCGTGCTCATTTTTGAGGCCATACTTTAAAATGTGAACGCGTTGTTTGCATGCATCGATGAGCCTCGCGTAAACTGCACCGCTAGAGCGGCAAGCACACGATGTGAATGTGTATCTATGAACACAATTTATTAAAACATGAGAATAATTGAAAGAGCGAAAACTTTTATTTTGAAGTGATGTTCTTGGCCCACTTTGTTAATGTTTATAAACGCAAGCACAAAGAGAGGTTCATGCAACTGCTAGACGCCGAAATACAGCTGCCATATCATAATTATAAATTACACACAAGAAAATTACATATAGGCAGCAATATATCAAGAACCACAGCAGAATAAAACTGCAATAAACGCACACAACTACGCATCCAGTGCACAACGCGACACGGATAGTAGATGCCTCAACAGTTGACTCCGGCATGAACCGAAAAAGAAAAGAAAAATTTTGGCAAGACTTTTTTCCCATTTTTGCACTGATTTTCTCCTGCACACTTTAAACCGCATTTCTATACAAACAGCCACAAGCGGTTGCCGCAGCACAAAAAAAACAATTTTAGGTGTCATGCAAGCCGTCAACGAGGAGTGTTTACTCAAAGATTACGTCCTAGCTAGCTTTAGCTAGCAAACATTTTTCTAGATTCATCACTTCTTTTCTTGCGCTCATTAAAACTTTAGGCAAATTGCGAATGACACAGATAACAATACTCAGCATAGCTGCACTTTTCACAAAACCTCACTGTTACAGTGAATTCGAATATACGTAGCGGCACAAGGAAAACCTAACCATGCGAGCGGCACTCAGTTTCTTGAGGCAAAAAAGAATTTTCTCGCAAACGTGCTGTGATGCATTTCGAACAGTTTCCTTTCGCACGAAGCAATCCGAGAAAACAGCACGCAAAGTGAACTGCACAAAAACATTTCTGCTCCGAACAGCACAATGCCAGAAACGTTAGGTGGAGGCTTCAATTACAAATGCAATACGCACTTAAGATAGTATTGATGGCGTGCCCCGCCGCGGTGGTCTAGTGGCTAAGGTACTCGGCTGCTGACCTGCAGGTCGCGGGTTCAAATCCCGGCCGTGGTGGCTGCATTTCCGATGGAGGCGGAAATGTCGTAGGTCCGTGTGCTCAGATTTGGGTGCACGTTAAAGAACCACAGGTGGTCAAAATTTCTGGAGCCCTCCACTACGGCGTCTCTCATAATCATATGGTGGTTTTGGGACATTAAACCCCACAAATCAATCAAATAGTATTGATGTGTTCGTACCTACCAGCAGCCAAGCACACAGGCAGCCGAAACAAGCGAAGACCACGACTCACGTTAGGCACACTATCGCACATCTTATATGGCATCTCCCTGCTGCTGCTCGTACTTCTTCATTGCCTCAAATGCTCATGAACACGAAGCGTGACGACGTTGCCGTCGAGTCGACAACATGTGCATTTCTCTCGCGTCCGATTGATGCCTGATCCCAGTCCGACGTTATCAAACCATAAAATCGCAGATGATAAAGACGAATTCAGGCCACTACCGAGGCCACTATCACATAAGCAAAAACACGTACACTTTTAATGCTCTGAAAAAGCTACTGTAGTAATTAACTAGTACGCGTGTTTCTTTGAATCAGTAAGTGATTGGTTGACATCTTACGGCTGGGGTGAAGCTGTGAAGCTCGGCCTCTTTTCGGCCCGAGTGACCACTCCTGTCATTTTTATGCTACTTCATGGGCGTACTCTGCAATATCACTGCATGCTGGATATCTTTCATATATCAGGTGTCATGATTTCGGCACATAAAATTCCATTTATTCACTTTGTTAGCATTTCCAGAAAACTCAGATTTCTTTTTCTAGAATATTGCAGCGTAAATACGATTTTTAAGGCACTCCGGCCTGACTTCAATAAAACGTTACACCACCACGTCTTTTTGAGGGCTACGGTGCCGCAATGAAATTAGCTGCCGAAGTAGACAAATCGTTTTTCTCGCTTTTTTTTTCGATGAACAGGGGTCAAGATAGCTCTGCGCCTGATGAACAGCGAAATCCCGATGAACTTCACAGTTCAGCCTTGGAACATTCCTCTTAAGCAGTGTGAAGGAACAGGTCCAATTTGGAGCGATCCGTACCTGGAATGTTTCGTGCGGCATATGGCTCACACCACGTGGCACCCCTGCTGTACGTGTCCCATGGGCTGGCATAAAGGGGCAGTAGTGGACCATGAGCTCAGGTATGCATTCTTGGACTATAAATTACAATTGTACGGTGTGAAAGAGTGTGAATTTTCAGGCAGCTGGCAAAAACAATACCTTGTTTAGCGCAAGCTTCCTGAATAATGGACTGAAAAATGCGGTGCACGCCAAGCTTCCAACTAAATTTCAATTGAGTTCTTCGCTTAAGTGCGTCACAGTTTGAGGACGTGTAGTGGCACACGTTTACTGTTCTGTGTTCCTAAACAATAAGATTCAGCTAGAATGTAGAACTTGTGTGTGTCGCAGTTATTTGTCTGCGAAAGCTGTGTTCAGATCAAAACTCTGGTCACGTGCGGCGCTGTGGTTTTCTTCCGCCGCCAGTATCCGTAACCGCTATAGCGAAATAATACTTAGTACCAGCAACACAGTGGAGCCCGAACGTGGGTCCGCTGGGTGCAAGCACAGTATTGTACCACTGAGCTATGCCGGTGCTTGGGACTTGTTCGTAAACTTGCCTCAGGCAGGCTTGATGTCGTGAAACGAATCTTGCTAGTATGAGTAATAAAGCGTTTTATAACTGCAAAAGATCAACGAGGCGTCACACAATGCACTTAGCGCAACAAAAAGGTCGTCCAAAGCTCCAACCCATTATAAAAAGTAGTTTGATTGCCTGATAACAAGGGTGCATGCCCACTTCAGGCAGGATTCCTCATCGTCGTCAGCCACCGCATGAACAACTGGCACAAAATTCTTTTCAAGTGTTTAGCGGATGCAACACTTATCAGAAGAACGACAAAAAATAGCATAGCGAATGCTGGTCTACTACCCAGAAATTATTATTTAATGCCGTATTGGGTACCCAGCAAGTGTACTTGCAGCAGTTATTCAATGAGTGTTGAAAAAAGGCTCTGAAAGGCCTCTCTTCAAGCTTTCGCTGTGACTGTGCTGCGTCTTCTGCGCAGGCCTGGAGTTTTTTTTTTTCCTATCTTGGAAAATATTTGCTAAATACGACTTGCAGTGTAAATGCTGGTTTCGCCTCAAAAAAGACCGTAGTTGCAAAGGCCCGGACATGAAGCAAGACCCGAAAGAGTGGAACGGGGGGAGGACTAAGGCGCTTATTTTGAACCAGTACTTAGCTTAAGCTTGAAAAATGCCCCAGGATGGCACAAATAACAAAAAAAAACAAAAGCCTTATCTGTGCAGCGAAGCTCGTCGTACATTGAAAACAAGTGCATTATAGCGAGCATATATCTAAATATTGGTAAATGCCGCGTTCATTTAGAACAAGAAGCGAACTGGCGATATGAAAAGTTCTAATTTTGGTCAGCATCTATTTTTAGTGAAGTGAAACTGTAGATGTAGGCAGCATTTTTTTCATCAAACATGGATGCACATTAGCCTTCGCCATTGAGCGCACACTCCTACCTAACATTATGAGCTGGACGGCCGGCAACCCTGCCTTTGAAGAACCTTGCCGACCGGATAAGCAGGACTATTTCTTTAGTCGCGGAAGCAATCGGCTGCCACTCTTCGGTCGCGTGACCGGTCCATCTACAGACATCTTAGGCTGTTTCTGACTATACCTAGTCCTTGCACTGTTTTTAAATGTAAGAACCTAGATGACAACAGGTCACTATATTACATTTTTATTCCTAATCTTATCTGCTCACGCAGTACTACGCCCAACCGTAGTGCAGTTGCCTTTTTTTTCCATCCTAAATCTTAACTTCGCCTGAAATTTCCGGCGCACGTCTAGTTCAATTGGATTTCGACTGAAGTTTTCTTCACTTCCGGTGGTTTTGCGACCTAATCTTTTGTCTCATTCTTGAGTAAGAAAACACTTGTAATTTCCCTTTCCATGGTTTGCTTCGTCCTCCCCATTTAAAGTTGAACCTTTTTCGTAAGCCTCCGGGTTTCTGTTCTAGTTCAGCTCTGCAGTTCTGGTTTCATGGCGATCTTAAAAGGCGCGTGCTTTCCCAGAACCACCCACGCTCTGCCCCGCCGCGGTGGTCTAGTGGCTAAGGTACTCGGCTGCTGACCCGCTGGTCGCGGGTTCAAATCGCGGCTGCCGCGGCTGCATTTCCGATGGAGGCGGAAATGTTGTAGGCCCGTGTACTCAGATTTGGGTGCACGTTAAAAAACCACAGGTGGTCGAAATTTCCGGAGCCTTCCACTACGGCGTCTCTCATAATCATATGGTGGTTTTGGGACGTTAAACCCCACATATCAATCAATCAAATCAACCACCCACGCTCTGTATTGGGTATAGTGAGCATCCACTCTATACCGAGTGCAGCCGCATCAACAAAAAAATAAAACATTGTTTGACATTTTACTACTGACCGATTTTCATAGAAGGGCAGCCTTGTCGCAAAGTACGATATTGTTGTTTTTATTTTTTTGTAAATGCGCCTGCACTTACCCAAAGTTATATGTCCTAAGAACGAATGATTCAACTGGCTCAACCTACAAGAAGACCGCCTTTGCTGGCATTCCAGTGCAATTCATATTTCTTTGAATCATACTTACCTCGGCGCTCATGTGCGTGTTTTCTTCGTAGAAACGTACACTCTAAGGCAAAAGTGTGTCAAAAAGGGTATGTGGTTCGTCCTCTTAGGGACTAATGAGGCTGCCGCAACCATTATACTCTTTAAGGACTAACGGCACCGGGTATAACAGTTAGTCCCCAGAAGGGACTAACATTTATTCCTCACAATTACACCCTAGTGAGTAATCGTTAGTCCCACAGTTCACCCCAAAGAACTAACATTTAGTCCTCATATTTGCACCTTATAGAGCAACTGTTGATCCCCACATTTACACCTTACGGGGCGACCGTTATTCCTCACAGTTGCACCTTTCTGGACGAAAGGTTGATCCACTCAAATACTCCAATCGGATGAACTTTTTGTCCCCAGTTCGAATATTGTTTTTGTTTATTTTAGACCAGGTCGAATATTTTTTTTCGAATGTTTTTCTGCGCAGTGACCAACAAATTTCGCAGAAAAAAGAACGCGCGAAAAAGTAGTTAGCAACCTAGGTGTAACTTCATTCGCAGTCACGGCAACAACGAAAGACAAAAGTGAGACATCGAAATCTTTTATTTTTCTACATACACATGAAGTTTCCACATTCCTTTAAGTGAATTCATGGTGAAGTGCACAAGTCCACTCTCGTTGTCAAATCTTGTTCACTCCTTGGGGAGCTCTACCGACGGAAGCGATAGATGACAGGCATTGCAGACGCCAGCGCACGCAGCCTGTTGTGTTCTCACGGCTGCACGTACAATATTATAGTAAAAATAGTTAGGCACACGTCACAGATGATGAAGATGCACGCATATGACAAGTACGTGCACGTTAATATAAAAACAAGCGTTAAAATATGACACACAAATAACTTTACCTTCACATCTCGCACAGTCCTTTCGAAGCTGCTCTGATGAAAGATGGATGACGGGCATCGCGGACGATAGCGCGCAGTCTTCAGCACGGTGCGTGCCTACGGCTGCACAATAAGTATGTAAAATAGTGAGTCACACGTGACAGAGGATGAATAAAAATGCGTATGAGAAATACGTGCAAGGTGAAACGAAAACATCTGTGAGATATGACATGCTAATAATGTCACCGTGATATCGCACATCGTCAGACTGATTTAGATCCCCGTAGCACAACAGCTTAGGAGCGGTGGCCGCCGTCACAACTCCGCGAACCACCGTGCCGCTAACAAGTCGGCGAGTCCTAAGCGAGTGACGTCGTTCAGCTGGAGCAAGCGAACGCGAGACCAAACACGGCACTGCAAGCGGAGAGTGTGCCGCCAGCGAACTTCGAGCAGGAGAGGGAGCGTATGCTTGGCCTCCGCCACGAACAGCGCCGAGCTGGTTAGGAGCTAGCGCCGAAGAAATCGGTGGTAATGTGGCCCTTTTCAACGAACTCGAGCGAGTGCAGCGTGCAAACGCGAGTCCACCGCCACGGCCAACGGAGTGTGCCGAGCTGTTGCGACCGACTGACAGGGAAGCGAACTGTAATGGCGACCATTTTTCAGTGAGTTCCGACGTTAGCGAAAGCTCTGCCAGCCCGTGCTGTTGCACTTAGAGTGCGCGACATACTACAACCAAGCTCTTTACGAGAACCCGCAACGTGTTTTCGACGACTATCAACTAAGCGACGAGGTCTCAGCCCAATATCGTCAGCACGGAGCTCATCGCGGCGGCGAAGACAGGCGAGCACTCGATGTAGCGAGCGTACGGGAGGCCGATTGCATTGGCGGCCAATTCCCAGGCGGTCGCAAAGCACAGGCAAACTGCAGACGCCGAAGCTCACCTTCGCAATGCATTTCGTGCGTGCGATATACCACACGACCGAGCACGTTGCCGGCAAGCGCAATCTGTATCGCACACGGAACAAGTAGAGTAGAATAAAGAATGATAACCTACTTGCCTTAGAATTCAGCGCTGTTTTCTGCCCTGAGTCACACTGAAATATATATGCGATAGGCCTGTTCTTCTCGGCCGCCATATTGGCCTTCCGAACTGTTGCTGTCGTGTGTTGATCGTGACTATCTTGAAGCCAGAGATATACAGCGCGGCGTGGTGCGCTGTCGAGGCTTGCTCCAGAGTTCGTGGGTGCAGCGAAACGCTAAAGCAGCAGCCCACGCTCATCCAGGCGTGCACACAAGCACCACGTATTAGTTCTTAGATCGTCGAATCTAGGCGGCCGTGTTCGAGCACTCCGAGCGCGCCGCTGCGCAACCGCCGCCAGCAAAATACGGGGAAAGACAGCCAGCACAGGAGGAGAAAGACATGCGTTCCTTGGAGGAGGAGGGCTGGTCACCTTGGCAACGCTAAAGTTCCTTGGAGGGGGAGGGCTGGTCACCTTGGCAACGCTTTTCGCGCTGCCTGCTAGTGGAGACTAAGGGGTTTCGCGCCGCATGCTTCTCACTGTGGTTGCTCCTCAGAGGTCTATCCGTTCATCGTGTGCGCCTTTTGGCTCCGTTACTCCTTTTTCGAGTGATTTTGGCTTAGAGTGTATGATGCAATGTAACCAGCATGATTCATGTCATGAAGGCGCGCGTATTTATATGAACAGAATAGCGTTAAAGAGGTCGTTGCGCAGAAATTCTGATGTTGTTTTTGGTGTTGGGGTTGTTGGTTGTGAGCGAAAAATCTTGGTACACGAAGATATGCGAATAAAATAAATCGAAGATATGTGAATAAAATAAATAATTATTTTCTGTCCCTTAGTGATGATCGATACCGGTTTATCTGCATAGGGATTGGGTGTTCCACTATACATCCATGCCTCTACTCGTGAATACAATGAAAATAACCTAGTCTGCTTGATAATTCAGTGAAAGTAACTGTCATACTTTACAACACACCCATCCTGTATACATGCTTCGCACTATAACATGAACTATTGCCGTGATAATGAGTGGTGCAAGCGTGAATTAGGATCATGTGCCATAACCTGGGCTTCTAGAAGAGAAAGAGAGAGAATAACTTTAAGGGAAAGCTGGAGAGGTTTGCCTGGTTTTCCACCTGACAGGCTAGTCCAGTTGCCGGGTGATGCGTGATATATACAATGATAAACACACAACGCATACAGTTACATACACGCATGACAGTCACATAACACATGCAGACTCACATGCGCTGCACAATTTACAACGTTTCGTTCAAGCCTGTGGCCCGTAAGAACGCCAGTAGCGCTTTTGTAAAGTCTAACGCACTGGAGGTGTTCTGCCATGGGCCTATAGAATGTTTTTTTTTTACTCCAAACTTGTGTCCTGTCGCATATTTAAGCCCCTCTTCAGAGACTGTCTCTCTGACGCGTATTTCGTACTCACAGAGGACATGTTTGATGTCTTCAACGACGTTACATTGGGCACAAAATGCTGAGACGGACAGTCCAATTTTATTCCGGAAGTAGTTCGTATATGCTACGTTTAATCGGATGCGGTGTAAACACGTTTCTTCTTGGCTGTTGAGATTTCGCGGTGCCCTGAAGTCACAAGGGCTTCTAGTAATTACTTCATAGACTAAAACCAGTCACAACTATAAAAGGCAAACACGCCGCGGCACCCTTAAGTTTACCCAGTGGGTGTACAACAAATTCGAAAAGATTTGATGCACTAAGTGTTTGAATTATGCACTAGGAACAGAATTTCACTATCGTGTTCAACCCTTAAAGGCGAAGCTTAAGGGTATAATTCTTTGTTTTCCCCCTCTGGTGACATGATCTGCTGCGGCAACCTTGTGTATAATGTCTCTAAAATATAAAAAAAGGTCCTGATGAATGCGTTAGCAGTGCATATGTAATACATACTAGACTGCCAAGCCTGATGCTTTAGTTTATTAACGTTTCACTTCTTATTGTATAGCCTCCCTATTTATATACTGCTATCTTTTTGCAGAGTTTGGGGAGTCCAGAAGCTGCGCGTGGTGGACGCCTCTGTGATGCCAATAATAGTCACCGGAAACCTCAACGTACCTACCATGATGATCGCCGACAAAGCAGCTGAAATGATTCTGAAAGCCAATCCTTTAATAAAACAGCGCTATTAATTAACACAAGCTATTCTTTTTTTTTCGTGATAATCATTCTCGCTAAGTTTTCGGACTAAAGTAAAGCAAACTATTCAGCTGCCACATAACTGGTGTTTGTGGTATGCGCTAAACCTTGTTAATCTTTATTTTGATGTCACTTTCACAAAATATTTTGCCTTCCGAATTGTCATGGAAGACGGTGCTTTTTGCGACCATTTAGGCAGTGATGGAATCATAGTCCACGTGTTTTGTCACTGCCCTCTCTACAGTCCGCGCAGACTGCTTATAGCTGTTGTGTTCGCCCGCTTAGACAACAGAGCCCAGTGGAAGTAGTCAGTCCTGAAATGCCGACGTGACCTCGCTTCGTATGAGCTATAAATTACAGGTAATTTAACTTTCCCTCGAAGTTGTACATTTATAAGGCTATAGTGTTCCCTGTACACACCTTTCTTTTTTAATGTGTGCTTTATTTCACGCGCGTGCTTTTGTCCGTGCTTTCCATTTCATGATTCCGTTTTCCCTTAGTGTCGAGAGCTGAACCACAAGCTACATATTTGCCTTACCTCTGGTCCATCCTTTCGCGGTTTTACCATTCTCTATGACGCCACATTTTTCTTACTACTGGTTTGGGGAGTTCCATTCGAAAATTGCACCAGGTTTTCTTCAGGAAGTTTTCTTTCAGAAGGTCGGTTGGTCGGTAGGTGAGCTTTATTAAACGGTCCTGAGGATTTTAAGCCACCAGGGTGTCTGCGAAGGACATCCCAGCAGCCACTAATGTATGTAACGCCTGAGTCGGGGCGAAAACATTGTGGTGTTTCAGCAGTATTTACTTTAAAAATGTTCTGAAATTTAACGCTATTGCCTTGATGCCTTATGGTGCATGAGACCATAAACGATGTAGCACATTTTTTATGTACACCTGATGTACCACTAGCGACAATTGAAGTCAATTTGAAATTTGTGTTGTAGACTTCAGAAAATTAGTAATTCCAGAAGAAACTCGTCAAAATGATCGCTTGGGTCATTGACGCAAGCAAGTATTTCCTTGAAACTGTGGAACGATTTACTTTAGTCGGGAAGAGAGTTTTAAGTATCGAGAAATGCAGCCACTTGCTTTTGAGCTTCTGTGTTGACTAAGTTTTCAGAGAATAATATCCAAAGAGCACACTGAAACTACACTGATAACATATGAGTCTGCACAGAAAAAAAAAAAGGTTCGGCAGTTTCCGTGTACACCGGGAATTCATGTTATGCGATGCATGCAGAGTTCTAGGTAACCTGTTGTATTTTTTTATTTAGCAACACAATAAGAAATGATTTAAATGTATGGACAAATGTTGCACGCACAGACATGTGGAATGAGCGCAGGTGTTTATATAACCAGTTTTTTGTCATCGCGCAAGGATGCCAACAGCAACATAGATATAGGAGCACCAGAAGAGAAAAGCGAATATGAAGCGCTGGTGCTCGCGAGGATGGTAGCCGGGGACACACTAATGAATTTTAGCGGATGCTACCGACCTACAATTGACGTTAACCAGACAAGACAGCTGAGTAATACGAGTACGAATCTAATGTTTGTAAAAGTGATTACCCAGCCACGCAGAATTCTGGGGTTTGATTCCTGCTGGGAGTCTGAAAATTAATCTTTGCATTAACCAGGTCAATGCTGTCGATGTTAGCTTTTCCTTAATGCTCACACGTTAAAATTACCCGAGTATATGGTTGCTGTTTCTGCAAGATACCCAGTGTTAATCCCCTGTCTCACATACCCGCACACCGGTAGTACAACCCCCCCCCCCCCACCCCATGGGCATGTATAACTGTCTGACGGCAAGTGTTTGACGTATGCGACGAGATTGTAACATATGGTTTGTCTTGAGCAGCGTATCTTATTCGTCAAACCATCTTGCCTTCCTCTATATTTTTTGAGAGCCCCTTGATAGATTGATAGATAGATAGAAGTTGATTGATGAGAAAATAGAGTGACTGATTGATTGATTATTGCGCTGATAGACGCCGAAAGTTAATGCAGTTCGCAAAGATTGTCTCCGCCATTAAAGTATCAAATTAGGCATGATTGACACCGGTGTCTTTCATTTATGTGCGCATTAACAAGCGTGATCGCTAATTCCGGAGCCCTCCACTACAACGTCCCTCGTAAGCATATTCTGTTTTTCAGACGCAGAACTCCTACGCTTTTGGCGTCTTGACTTTCGGTGTCTCGTGTGGATGTGGTCGAAATTTTTGCAGGACAGAAGGCTGCCAATGAGAATGTTTTGTTTTTCTGCTAAGGCATTGGCTTGATGTTGCAATAAAGCACAAGCTGGAAAGCATTTCCTATTCGCATATTCCTAATATGCATCAATATCAACTATTTTTTCACACTCGCAACTGTCTTGCTGTCGAGAGGGGCAGCTTTATGTCACGCCAGATTCTCCAATTCTGGAAGCCCTGACTCAAGGATAAATGAACAAGCATAGAACACTATATATATATATATATATATATAGGGAGCTAAAACAAGCTAGAAATAACACGGTAATCAACGATTCATTTGGAGGATGTCGCAATACCACGAAGCGTGATGCAATGAAGCGAACATCTTGCACCAAAAAACAAACCGGCTCCTCCGAGGCATGACCTATCTATCTGATTATTTCTTGCAAGGCATGGCGTTTTCAAGAAAATGCGTTCCAAGTCTAGCTTTCGATGACAGCCCATAGAGTACACAACTTTGGCAGATCTACAGCCACGTTAGATAGTTAAGTACTATGGTCTAACCTTTTGAACTCAAACTTACTCTGTTTTAATTGCATGTGGCATTCGTCAGTATTTCGTACTTCAAGAATCTCGTAACATTCTACTTCGGAAGCCCCGTGGGTTTCTCGGACTGCAAATACTTTAACATTGGTGCTTTGTTCTTTGCCAAAAAGTGCTGTTTCGAAGAGGGCGAGCAATGTTTCCGACATTTGGAGATGCACTTTCTCCACTATAGCCGTATATATACCGAAACTTCTGAATGCCGTCTGGGGTGGTTCGTGGGCTCTCAGAGACAGACAATTTCACGGAAAAGAAAACGTTTATGCACAACACGATTCATCTACAAATACACTCACTTTCAATACAAGACTGAACAGTACAACACGTTAACGTTCCCTCTGACCCCAGTCCTTACAGTCCCCTAAGATACAAGTATTCCTACACATGCCCGACTCGTTCGGTAACTGTCGTTCGTAGACGACGCTCGCGGCACCTATGATCGTGTAGTCGGAGCACGCTTGAAGCAGGAGAGAAAGGCGCGCTGACTCATCCAGCTCGGGAACGCTGCGAAGCACGATGAATCTGCGTAGCGCCGAGACTACGTCGCAGTCGGTTGTGCCGGATCATGACCTGCACGTGGTGCTAAGACCACGTCGCAGTCGGTTGTGCCGGATCAGGACCTACACGTGGCGCCAAGGCCATGCTCTCAGCATGCGGTTGTGCCAGACCCCAGCAGACCCAGCACCGTGGACCGACTCTGTAGCTGGTTGGTCTCGGATACCATCTGTCCACGATCAGCAGTCCATCCTAGCCTGCTGACATGTTCACCACAGAAACGCGCCGCAAGGCCCTGTCTGGAAGCCACCCGCCCACCGCAGAAAACGCCAGGCTCGTCCCGGCTGATCCGATGATCTTGACATGGCAACGCATGCTCTGCCAGTCAAAGTTCCAAGGCCCACTTGCCTCACACTCGCCTTTCACGCGCACACTTCGTCGTCTTCGTTTGCGTCAACACTTCCGGTTCTTACTTTAGCTTTCGGTTTTGGTGCGCTCTTACCACACCATCCTTGACCCATATTGTTTTCGGTGATGCGTGTAATCTTTGTACGTGCATTGATATAGGTGACTGAACTCTGCAAGTGGTTTGCTTAATGGCTGGTTAGAAAGCACCATGGTCTCCATGTACAGACGCAAACACGATGACGTAGAGTGGTCAAAGTCGTTCATTAGAGAAAGTTGTTCACCTAGCGGCCAGAGTGGTGTTCAAGGGAAGCATCTTAACGACGAGAATTTTTCGCTGGAAGTAGAAGGCGGCGAAAACACCGAGAGTCATAGCGACGATGAATGATCGGCGCGTTTCAAGCCGGATCCGCACCTTCCTTCACGCATATATGCAACCTGTGCTGATTTCATGCACCCATTAGGCATTTCAAATTTATTCGCGGGGAGCATATGGTACTACGTAGCTTTAGCACTATCGTGGCCATCCAAACGTCATTTTTAGTGAAATAAGTGCATGATACGGTGACATCATCTGTTCAGATCCTGAAATCATTGTTGTACACATTAACGGAGGGCACCAAACATAGGTGTAGATATATAGAGAAGGAGCATAGGTGTTTTATACATTGCTCATAAACTACTGACATATTTATCTCGAGGCCTGTGCAAAATACACAGCACAGTCAAAGCATAAGGTGAAACAGTGGATTCCGAGCCCGTTGTAATAATAATCACGGTCCCTTGGAATTTTCATGGTGCACCCCTCTGCCGTATCTTAAACAAAAATGTGCAAAGCATCCAAAAGAAATTCAAGAAAGAACAAAAAATGACGTTCGTCTATGATGATATAAGCAGAATGTGTACATAGGTTCTCGGTTCGTATTCAGTTTCATCCAAAAAGCAATTGTATTGTGAATAAATTCATTGAGAAAAAAGTGGATCTATAGTAGCATATTTGAGTATTACATAGAATCAATGGGTTTGATTCTGGCTAAAAACATCCATTTTCTTTCTTTCCTTTTTTGATTGTTCTAGCGTTTCTTGATATGTTCATTCGACAAAAGCTGATGTTCGCGCCATCACTCTTGCTGTAAGTGAGTCCACGGCAACTATCGCGTAATATGAGAAACTTCAACAGCTTCAGGCATAGGCAAGTCTAGAAATTCATCTGAGTGTATTTTACAGCGCACTGGGTTAAAGATGGACGAAGTAGGGACACCGCTTTGTCTGTCTGTGACCCATAGCGCAATAAA